CAAGCAATCAACCACCCAACCACCCAATCACCCAACCACCCACCCAACCAACCAACCAACCAACCAACCACCCAACCACCCACCCACCCAACTAACCACCCACCCAAGCAACCAGCTGATCTGAGATTTGTAATACTGAGGTGTAACTTTTCCTCTCGAAATTTATGAATTTCCAGGCCTACAAAGGAGAAAAAACCTTTGCTAATAAGCGGTTGATAACAGTAACATAATAACTGATATATTTTTTTATTGCARTGATGGACAATTTTGTTTTTATTTTTCGCTTGTCAATTTTCACAGGCTTCATGACACTTCAGTTTTGCAGTGACGTCATTTCTACGTCATTATTTCAGATCAGCTGGAAAAACCTAAGCTGTGTGTGGTTGCTAACAAACTTGAATTTTTCATCCACAGATCGATTCAAGTTCAGGAGGCAACCAAAGAGGTTCTCGATTGTTGGATTTGGTGCCAGTCTTACCATTGCCTGCACAACCAACGAACTCAATGCCGATGTGTCTCTGTACCATCGAGGAAGTCCCTCAAAACCTTGGAAACAACTTGTGCCTGACATGAAAAGAGTTTTTAAAAATAGCCAGACATTCGTTATTTCAAACTTTGGTATATCTGATGTAGGGCACTATCAATGTCGTGGTAGAAACAGAAGAGGAAACACGATTCGATGGAAGGAAGGATCTGGCATCGTTCTTGCTCATCCAATTCTCACACCACCAGTAACGATTGAACCTAAACATGCTGTTGTACTCACTGAAGGACAATCTCGAAACATCACATGTACTTCTGTAGATCGCACGACCCTTCAGTGGTTTAAAGAGCTTGCTAACGGTACCATCATACCCGTTCCGACAAGTAAAACTGTCGAGAAAAGAGATCGGAATAAGTTTAGTGTGATTCTTATGTTTAGGGATGCTAAGAAGAAAGATTCTGGTTCCTACAAATGTTTGATGACCTTCCAAGGTAGAAGGAGCCATAAGTACGCTTCATTAACGGTCATGGGTGAGTATATATTAGCGATACTATATGACGCAAGTGACAAAAGGTGACCCCATTATAATGTGGGACTAAGTGTTGGACCCATTACACTGTACATAAAAGTGGCACTGTGTGACAAAAGTGACGGAATTATAGTGTGTGACATATCATGACAAACCAACACAATACTTTATCGACCTGACCAACCAACCAACCCACCCACCCACCAACCCC